TCGGCAAGCTCAGGCTGTAGGAAACAAGGAAGCTCCCCATGATCATCATCCACAGGGTGGCTCCACTGGTGGTGGCGGCCAGAGATGAAAAAGAAAACAGTGAACGTGGACAGCCACCTCCTCCTCTTTGCCCCACAGGCTCCCTTAAGAACTACATGGATACAGGTGACTGATGTCAGGAGAGGGGGACTCCCACTGGCCCTGTCTGGGGTCTGTGCTCTCTTGTGGGCCTGTGCCTATTCCTCCCCACAAAGGCCACCAGAGCTGAAGGACTCAATTCATAGGCAAGAGAGAATTCTTTAAGTCTGGAAGAGCAGGGCTGTAGAAATTGTTCTGTTACCACATTTTTCTGGATGCTAAGAGATGCACACATAACATAACTACTTTGAAAATGCAGCAAGCTACAAGATGAACTCCACGGAGGCAAATTCTATTACTTTTCCTCTTTCCAACCAAAAGCAAAAGGACAAAGTGATAAGCTGAAAATGAAGAGGGGAGGGTGTATAGGGGGAGGGAAGAAAAACACCACAAGCTGAACCTGACAGAAGTCAATGGTTCAGCCCCTCTCCTCGTACAGTCGCATCCAAATGGCAAGTCACCCAGGCTGCAAACATCTTTCTCAGGAGTAATTAAATCAAATTAATCTCAGGAAAAGCGCTTTAAATGTTCAAAGCCCCATTAATCCTCATGCCTTGTAATTAAATACGTATGTTAAGAAAGCTTGGACAAAAGCAAGACATTTTCAAGTGTAAATTCTTTACATTCATGGCATTATAACGCATTCTAAGCACTGATCTTGTAGCAACTATGTAAAAAATTCAGTGAAGCACACACTGTAAAAACATGGCAAAAAGAATGCAGATACAATCTCAGTCCATACTGAGATTCAGAAAAATGTGCCTTGATAAACATCTTCACTTTAAGGCTGCACATAATTTATCCAATGATAATCTCCACTTATCCGTTTTTTTTTAACTCTCCCTGATCCTCACCCCTCTGGGTCCTGAGGGGGTGGCCCTCAAACACATCTTGGAGAAGTCCTTTGCTTCTGCTGTCCTGAATCTTCTACTTTATTTCCTTGTTTGTGCCAATCTCCCAGGGTTAATCTCCTCTTTGATAATCAACCATTGAAGAGATTGGTCACCTCAACACATTGTCTTGAAGGGAAGGTATTCAATCTCCCGTTTCTAAAATAGAGGGTAGTTGTCAAAAATCTCAAGAACACTACTGCTGCCACGTGGTCTCTGAATAGCTCTTGACTCCCTTGTCAAAGTGCCCTCACCGCACGGAACCTCATTTGCTTCTCACAACCACCCTGAAAGGAGGTGGAATACAAATTACATGTCCTTTTTTCTGATGAGGAAAGTCAGAGTAAATGATCTGCCAACTGTCACAGGATAAGCAGTTTAGAGTCTGAATGTTATCAGTTCTCTGATTCACTGCTGTTGGTCAGAACCCTCAGTGCCTCCAGGAAAGGCTGTCACAACGTAGCCCATATCATCTAAAAAGGTTCCTGTGATCTGTCTAAATTGCTTGGTTCTGGTTAGAACTGTAAGCATCAATTATTTCTTAAAAAACAATGTGAGCTGGTGTTATGGACTTAATGTTCACGTCCCCATACAATTCATACATCGAAATCCTAAAGCCCAATGTGGTGGTATTTGGAGGTGCGGCCTTTGAAGGCCACGAGGGTCGAGCTCTCCTGAAGGGGTTCATTGCTAGAAGAGCCAGCAGAACTTGTTCCTTCTATTCTTTGTCATGTGATGCTATACAGAGAAGATGACCATCTGCAAACCCAGAAGAGCCCTCACAAGAACTGAACTGAAGATCCTTGATCTTAGATTTCCCAGCCTCCAGAACTGTGAGAAGTAAATGTTTGCTGTTTAAGTCAGACTACGGTAATTTGTTATAACGGCCCTCTGAGCTAAGACAACTGAGTTTGAAAAACTTATCAACAAAGTTTTCAAAGACAGTGATATTTGTGGTAAAGAAATTTTACCTACATAAGATCTTAAAAGTTAAAAGCAGAAACCCTAATTCCAACCAGATTCATTATCATGATCAACTGAATATATCTGTCAGGAATACGAGGTTTGAAGTCAAAACCCAGAAATTACAGAACAGGTAGAGTTTTCAGAAACCAAAGAAAGAATCTACTCATACCTAATTTCTGAGCAAAGATGCTGTGGAAGGATTGTCATATTGACCCCAGAGATCTAAATGACATTTTGAAGTTTCTTCTAGGTCCTGAAGTCTGTGTTAAGCTCCTCTGCCCCTTGAAAGATTCTGAGGTAAGTAGGTCTCATTCCAGAGGAGAAACCCAAGTGACCCGGTCATGACATTTCAGAGAAAGCGAAGGAGAGAAATCAAATGCTCTGAACGAGGAGGAATCAAGAACAGGAAAAACTTCATCTTTCGTTCATTTCCCAAGTTCGAGGGGAGGGAGAAGATAAATGAACCTACCCACATTTTCAAGGACTTAAAGGTTAAAGGTGCTCTCTCAGAATTTTTCTGATAGCCCAGAGAGAATCTCATCATATTCACTTCACATATGAGGAAACCACGTTACTAAGAGACTGAAGGACTTGCCTAGATTACGCAGGTTATGCCCAGGATTCTCAGTCATACTACAATTAACTTCTTACCATACTATTTCCTCTGTTTTCTAACAGGAAGAAACAGCTGTTCTGACAATTTTACTTATGTTTGATGAAAGGTACTGGCTCTGGGAAATGCGACTATAGACGTGATTGAGCAGTAAATAAACACCAGAGGAATGGATTCATTCCAGGAACAAGTCTTTGCAGTCTGTGTATTGACTCTGTTCCCTGAGAAAACTTGTAACATTTATTTTAATGTCCAAAGTTTTTGCCTAATGAATTTCACTTACTTGTACACAATTACAAAGGAAGAACTGACACAACTCAAGGTCTAACAGAAGGAGGGAGCACTTCAGTGCAAATGAATAAAACGGAACTTTACTATCTAAATTGCAAGAGGTACTGCCAAATCTTCCTGGAAGAGTCATGAAAGTAAATCTTAACAGAAGACATTTCTGCTTCAAGTCCGGAATTCCTACAGCTGGCCAGTGAGGACACCAGGCTTTCTTTTTGCTGTTAAAAGCACAGAACTGTGTAAAACTGAAAGGCATTTCTAGCAATGATTAGTCCTCTTTCAATTACTTAAAATTTTAAAATATTTTTTAATTTTTTTTGGGGGTAATTAGGTTTATTTGTTTATTTTTAAACAAGGTACTAGGGATTGAACTTAGGACCTCATACACGCTAAGCCATTCACTCTACCACTTGAGTTATACCCTCCCCTCTTCGATTATTTTTACATTGACAGAAAAAGTACAGCAAAAAGCTATAAAAAGTACAGGTAGACGGTAAATAAAGTAGGGTGAAAACGGTTCCTAATATGACATATTCACATACCCAGAAACTACGAAGAATGAGAAGGAGCTACTGACTGGTTCATTTCAGACAGACTGAACGTCAGGGAGAAAAGTGCTGAACTAAAACCCAGATTTCTATCCTGGAGCAGTTGTTGTTTTTTAAATGTCTATGGACACCAGTGAAAGAAAAAAAAAGGTACATGCTGAGAAATACAAAACAGTATAAGAGTGACAGCCTTTCTTTAGCTGTCTGTGTTTCATTCTAGGAAAAAAATGCACATATTAAACAGATAAATCCTTTACATTTATACAAAACGACATGAAAGCTCACACTGCACACGTTTTACCTTGCTTTTTGTACTCCACAGTGCACTTCTTGGAGAGATTTCCTAATCAGTACTTATAAGTCTATCTTACTTTTTTGGGAATGGATTATGCAAAATTTTGGTGGTGACTGACTCTTCCTAGCACTGGGCCAATTCTCAATTTATTTATCTCACTTTCTTTTTTTTTAAATCTCACTTTCTTATCAACAAAAGTTACACTTGATACATTATGACTCAGGCTCCTAACTGCAGATCACTGAGCCTTTCAAAGTAAAATTTTAAGAGACCCTGAATTCAAATGCTGATTCAGTGACAACAGAAAAACAAACAAAAAACATTCAAAGAACTGCATAGAGGAAATAACCCTTTTTCTCAAGTAGCTCCGGGGTATGTATGATTCTGCTGTGGCTCTGTCCCTCACGGAAGAACAAAGTCAAAGTCAAGATCTCAGGGCAAAAGGAGTTCCCAGGATTCAGGACCAGCATCGTGGGATACGACTGCCCACATGTGGAGAGCCGGGAACGCAGGAGCTGGAAGGGATGTCTGCCCCCACGTGGCCCGTCTCAGCATTTTGCTGGTGTGTGAGAGATGGGAACAGTGACAGGATTTACTTTCAGTTCTGAGAACCATGACTCATCCCTATATTCTAAAAAGAAGGAAAGAAAAAGAGAGGCAGGCCACAGGGCAGGGAACACAGAAGCCCACATCCTTTCAGCTGCACGTGATTAGTAACTCCTCACTTTGTGAAGCTGTTTCCTTCCAAGAAAAATAAAAGCTTTGGGTCCTCTCAAGATGTTTTTTCCTGCTTTTCAACAATTAAAAAGCTATTATTTCAAAGTACTTTTTCTTTTCTGCTGGGCTCGGGGTTGTAATCCCATGATAGCACACCTGAGTGAAACAATCTAGGTATTGAGATGGGAGGAAACGGGGGCAGGGCACAAGCACTAAGGACAGGACAAACTGGTTAGAACCAAGATGGCAGGAGGCTGACTTCCAGGAGACCTTGAGCCTCATGGCACACCCATAGGTGCCAAGACAGTTCCTAGGTTGACCATAAAAGGTTAAAAAGTAGGTGGGGCCCGATTCCTGGAAATCCCTGCCCCTTCCCCAAAGCAGTTGGAATAATCCTCCTACTCATTAGTTGAGCTCATAAAACCTAACAGCTCCGCACCCCATGGTCACTCTCTCGCCTTCTGCAACGGCCCGCACTCTGTCTATGGAGTGTGTATCTCTCTAAATAAACTTGCTTTCACTTTACTATCCCTTGCTCTTGGAAGTCTTTCCTGCGTGAGGCAAGAACCTATTCTCCAATATCTGTGGCACAGCCAGCCAGGAGGTAAGTCTCAGCCTCTCGCCTCCCTTGCGCTTGAGGCCCATCTCTGCCTGTCTCTCTCACGCCCGCACACCTCTGCGTACCTAGCTTACTCTTTACTTTCGCACCTTACTCTACCGGAAGTGGCGGAAAGAAATCTGCTAGGAGTTTCCCAACCTTGTGGTTGGGTCTTGTGTTTCTCGTTGTTGCATACATGCGGTAATTGTTAGGAGGCATTACCAGCCATTCTCACAGGTGGCTAGGGACCTGCAAGAGAGCTCACACCAGGACTAATGTCACCGAGATCCCTTGGGGAGCTTCCTCATGACACAAGTGGTCTATAGGCGTACTTGGTTGTTGGGAGAGGGGCCCGTTCTGTGCCATGTGGTTGGGGCCATCATATTTGGGCCACCATTTTGTCTGGGCCCACATGGTGTCCTGGCATCCAGCCTGCCCTCTTCATGTATCTGGGTCTATCCATGCCCCACCCTCACCTCACCCTGTCGGGGCAGGACAGCTCAAGTCAGCTGGCACCAAAGGTTGAGCACATGGCCACACCCTGGGGATACAAGTCCCAGCAGTGACCGAATCCACCATTGCTGTGCTTGCCTTCTTGGGGTTGCATGGCTGGCGGTATCCTTGCAGGGGTGCCAGGTCCTCCATTCCCCTAAGTGCATACACAGTGCCTCTACCTTGCACCACCATACTCACCCCTGCATCCAGCCCCGGGCCCGCATGTGGGGGGAGGGGTGCACTATGGCCCAGTGTACTGCCTACGAAAGGGAAGAGAGAAGCTTTTATATACACAACCTCCACTTAATGGCCAGTGCCTGTTTTCAGAAACTTACCACCTTTTCAGAGAAGGGAAGCTGGGACCTAAACAAGTCCTGGGACTATTGAAGATGTCCATTCCAGGGGAATACGGCCTGGAACATAAGGATTAATCATTGGCCACAGAATGCCTTCAGGAAGGTCATTCATCTTGGGTACTGCAGACTCAGGAGAGGACACAGGCCCCCAGGACTGGGGTTGCTAGGGTTTACCGTGTGGCAGGGTTGGTACCCCAACATTGGATTAGGTGGGCGGGATGTCTGGAACCAGTCCTGCCTTATGGAGTCCCCACAGGATAGTCCCTGCGGGATGCTGGAGGTCACTAGGGTTTGCCATGTGCTCACTGATTTCCCTGGACCCTTGTCTGCCCCCCCAGTCCTGCACAATAATGGGGATCAACAGAAGGCTAAAACCAAGTGATTCACTATCCCCTCTTTCCCTTAGGTGCCTGCTAGAGAATTCTACTTCCGCATGAATTTCTGTTCATGCCTGAGTATCCTGTACCCTTGCTGGGAAGGGACTTGATCACTAAATTCCAGACAACAGTTCAACTCAGAGACCCTTAATGGGGAAGGAACCCACCAAGCAAAACCACTGCTCTTGGTTGGCTATGGGAGCCTGCCTCAGCCCCAAGCCAGAGAAGGTCTCCCATCCACCCCGTATTTCTCAAGTGAACCCTGCTGTCTAGGACACTGAGGTCCCTGGCAGAGCTACCTTTAGAAATGAGACCACCTAGGCTACAGGCAAGCTTCTCTACATCAAAGGCCGAACAGAGGTCCGTAATTAGAGAATTCCTCAAACCCAAGAAGGATCTTCAAAGTGTTTCAAATCTAGCCTTTATAGGACCAGAGGTGTGGTTCCAGAAATAATCTGAAGCCCACCAATCCTTTCACCACTCCCCAAAACTCTCCTACTTAAGAAACTTGTGCATATCGAAAGCCCCTTTTTCTGGCTTTAAGGGAACAGAGTCATCCTAGAAGGAATTTTCCTTTCTCAAGACTTTGAGATGTCAATGTTCTCAGGAACAGGTCTTCTCTAGGAGCCCTTATCTCGTCATCTTTTTAAAATACAAATTTCAGGGGGAGGGTATAGCTCAGTGGTAGGGCTCATGCTTAGCATGCACGAGGTCCTGAATTCAATCCCCAGTACCTCCTCTAAAAATAAATAATAACAACCTGATTACCTCCCCCCTTAAAAAAAAGTACAAATTTCAAGAAAGGGGGTAAGCAATTTGGAACTTGACTTGTTAAGGATAAATAGAAATCTTGTGTCTTAGTCATCTGGATAGATGACTTTGATTTGTTCCATCTGCCAGAAACTCAATTTGAATCCAACCTCTTGTAACTGATGAGTCTTACATTATTGTGCCTGATTCATGACTAAAATTTTGGAATGGGAACTATGAGGTCTCTGTGTTTGTGTGTTTGCACGTATCTGTATGTGTGCTGTAGATATGGGGCACTGCCAAAATTAATTTATAAAAAAGCACTATTTAATTGGCTAAAGAAAATAAAGCGCTTATGTCAATATTTCAGAAATATAAAAGAGACTGGCCAAAATCAATTTCAAGTCCATGTGAGCTGGCAAATATTCAGTACTGAATCGATATCTGGTATTGAAGCTAGCTTAAGCTTGCTGGTCTGATTAATACAGACATGTCTTTAGAGTCATCAGTGTTAAGTATAATACTTCTGTTGTACTTAGGAAAGAAAGTAAAATTAAAGCTAGTAAATGAATAAGGGAAACATTTCAGGATGCCAGAAAGTAAGATGTGTGTTTTCTGTAAAAGAACACATAAGGAATGGAACTGCATTTTGTTAAGGGAGAAGAAAGTAAATTTTGTCCTAAAGCTGGTTGCTTCCGAATGGAAAAGAAAATAAGGAACAAAATAATACGGATACAGAAAGTTGTGAGTGGAAGAGGAACCCTGAGGCATCTCAGAGAAATAGTACATTAACTAGGATTATTTGGTACGTTAAATGTAATGTCACAATTCTGATGATTGTAACCAAGTTTCTCCATCGATTACACTGTAATCAGAATGAAGTGTTAACTGTGCCTTTTTAAGCCTTTTGTCACTTACAGACAGTTATTGTTATATTCTGGTGCTGTTGCAAAAGTGCTTCATCTAAAGGAAAATTCATAGGAAGGCTATGGAAGTGGTTACTATATTTCACATCAAGATGATGGCTATGCAAGGATTCCAGCCCATACCACCCACTGACTCAAAACAAGAAGGTGTCCTGCCCTGGGGACCCTAGATCAGGCATCCAGAGACTTTTACGCCCTGATAGGCAAAGTCAACATCCCTCCTAAGCCCTCAAGTAACTACAGAAGATGGATTGTGGCCCCTCTGCTCCCCATAAGATTATGGAGTAAAATCTTTGATGGGGGGAATGAGACAGGAGGAAACGGGGCAGGGCACAAGCACTGAAGGAATGACACAGCAACTGAGGACAGGACAAACTGGTTAGAATCAAGAAGGTGGAAGATCTGATTTCCAGTAGACCTTGAGCCTCATGGCACACCCATAGGTGCCAAGACAGGTCCTAGGTCGACCATAAAAGGTCAAAAGGTAGGTGGGGCCTGATTCCTGGAAATCCCAGCCCCTTCCCCAAAGAAGTTGGAATAATCCTCCTACTCATTAGTTGAGTCCATAAAACCTAACAGCTCTGCACCTCATGGTCACTCTCGCCTTCTGCAACGGCCCGCACTCTGTCTATGGAGTGTGTATCTCTCTAAATAAACTTGCTATCTACGCCTTGCTTTTGAAGTCTTTCCTGCAAGAGGCGAGATCCCACTCTCTGCCAATAATGTGAAGAGTTCAAAAGAATGGCGTGTGAGAACAGGCAACCCACGTTTGCAGAGTTCAACTGTATGACAGTTTACTCACATCTTTAAAGTCTCTTTCTACTTCCTCTTCCTCTAGAAGACGTGGTCAGTGTTCCTCAGGAGCTGACCAGGCTCTGGTTAAGGATCAGTTTGCTAAGGTTCCCCAGGTAACATTAAAGGCCTGAGATTTATCAATGGCTATGGCAGAATGAAATTCTCTCCCTGAAGCAGACTTGAGAAGAGGTGCTGCCCTCCCCGTTCACAGAAACCACCACATCAGCTCGGGCTGGCGCATCAGCTGAACAAGCCCCCACAACAAGCCCTCCACGTAAGCAGGGCTGGTGTTACCAGCCCCTTCCACAGGGGAGGAAGTGCCCTGCCTGGTCATGCACAGAGTTAAAACCAGGCCCCTTCTCTGCCACCCAATACTTTGTACATTAGGTAAGTGCATGTGCTCATTCTGCCAAGCTTACGTCTTCTCACAGCACAGACGTGTACATGTAAAACCTTCACACTCGCCACGGATTTGGGATTTGGGGGCTGCTGGAGACTTAACTCAGGTAAGAAGACTCAGACCTGGAGGTGAAGGGCTGATTTCAGCCCACAGTGGAGAGAGAGCGGAAGCTGGTTCTCCGCATTCTCCCTGCACCACCTCTCTGCCACTTTAACGCAGTCTCCAGCTCACACAGCCAGCGCAAAGAGCCTGTTTTCAAAAGGGTTGTTCTGCCATAATAAGAGTTCTGGATGTTTTTAAGTTCTGACAGAAACGAACTCCCTTCTCTAACCCTGTGCACAGAGAGCATCTTCCCTCCTGCCAACAGGGTCTCTGCTGGGTCAGCTTATGGTGAAGACCCACCTTTACCCTGAACAAACAGAGCACAGACACCAAGCAATTTCACCTGACAGCAGTATTTTATTGTTATGACACCATCTTTTTGACCCACTTTACTCCCTGCTCCTTACTTCTTGGTTATAAGCAGTAATTAGTAATGTCAGTGTTCTGGCTGGATTGCTCCAGACCCATTAATAATGCAGGAGCAGGAACAGGATGAATGCATAAGTGCACAACTGAGGTTTCAAGGTTAAAAGCAGTAATGGGGGGGGGGAGGCAGGTGGTGTTGGTAGAAGAAAGCGTGTGGGTGTGTATGTGAGACAGGGGGAGAGGAGGGAGGAAGAAGGAGCGTGGGGAGAGGAGGTGACAGGGAATTAGTTTTAAATTTCGTTTTTAAAATGTCCAGCTTCCCTTTAGAAGCAATACGTATGGTGAACCACAACTTGTCAGTGTCCTGAATCAAGCTGAACATAACTTCTTCTGGAGTGGACACACCCCTCTGGCCAAGTGGTGGGGAGGGTGTCAGTGT